CATCATTGGGAAGGTATCGTTAGCTCTGCTTAATGACTTTTCGAGGATGTCGATTATCAGCGCTGACAGCAGCTTGCGAACGCGGGGATGGCGGCCATTATGTTGTTTTTTGTTTACAATCAGCTGAGGGTTGCGAGTGTACGAGTTTAGACGTATGGCAAGGCTGGTCAGTTGATACACACCAATTCATGTCGGCCTACTATATACTTAGATGAGGAACAAGTATTGTGTCGCGTTAATCGGCTGCACCAGGCTCGAGGAAAATCTGATTGCTCTTCGTTGCTTACCAACCCAAACAATGGCCGAGTTTCTAGCGCGCAGTTACCCGCAACATAGAAGCCAGCGTGTTCGTCCTTTCCTGCCCGCTGATTGTTTTATCTTTTCGGATTGTATTTGTTCACCCACAGCCGTCGATGGGATCGACAAAAATAAATAAATAAAAACTGTTTCAAGACCCAAATGCACATTTAGCGAACAAAATCAACCATATATAATTCCAAATTCCCCCTAGGCGTGTTTTGAGAAAGCCGAAAACTTTGGACACACTCCCTTTAAAGGCAGCGGTCCCTGTTTGTATAGTGCTTTGAGCTGAAATGGCCACCTTGAAGATCATTTAGGTCAGTTCAGAGCCCTGCTCTTCTTAAGACTTAAAACCTTCAGTTGTTGAGCTACACTCATTCAAAGATGTGAAGACTATTTTGTGCCGACTATTTCAAGGTTACCAAGGCATTCATGATGTCATGATAACGCCATTTACATCCTGCCATTTCACTGGCCATGCAGTATTCAAGGTCCATAAAGCTAGAATTGAGTTGTTCATATCTGGCGTGTGTGAGCACGATTTTCAGATGTGGTAACCGTTCATTGCATAGGCGTTAGAATGTTTCAGAACGTGAGGGCCAAGCTCAGGGCGTACTTCAGGAACTTCTTCTGGTAATCAAGCCCGATGGCCGGGGGTAGGTGTAGAAATGGAGGTTATTATCGCTCTTTATTCAAATGTCATAGCTGCTATGCTAGATATGCATCTAGAGCTGCTTCTCACTAGTGCACAATCTTGCCCTTTCGACTCATCTATGTCATCCGGCAAATAAGGCTATTCAGATTCCCAAGATTATGCGGCCATTTCAGTATGGGGAGGCGAAACTTCACGAGCGGATAGGTTTTGGGGCATTGATTAGCATCTGCCTCCACAGGGTGGATACCAAAATACGGCCTGAACTTAGGCTGGTGAGCATATCGAACGTGAATCGATGGCTCACAGTGCAAGACTTATCACAGCATTTTAGTCGGAAGCAAATTCGGAAGCTTGAAACTGCCAAAGCAACGTGACAAAAGCCATAAACTGAAAATTATTTAAAAACCAAGCTACAGAATGAAAGACCTATCATATATTCCTTATCTGGGCTCTGCTTCCGTCCGCCGTCGGCGGCCACTACCCTGGCCCGGCTGTCTCCCGCATGAACGACTGCGAACTGATCGTATGGCTGCTTTGTTGCATATTTCTGGAACAGCATTGCTGCTAAATCGTGTGTAAAACATATGGTGGACAACTGCAACAATATCTTTTTCCCAGTTGTCTTCCTTTACACCACACCACCCCAGAAAAAGCCCCCTGCGAAGCTGCCTGTTTTAGGTATGAATTGGTCCAACGGATATTTAATTTCCACCATGCAACGCAGGCAACTTGATCTGCCTTTGTATAAAAGCGGGGACGTAACCAGAGTCTTGCCAAGGGGGACACAGAGTTGGCAAAGGGCCCTCTTATGGTAACCCCCCAAAATCCTTAGATATAGTTTAGTTGTTAACAAGGGATACAGTTTTCTTCGTTTTGTTCTTATTTTTACCTTACAACCAGAACAGAAACCACAGCTACCATGAGATCAATTCTGTTTGCATTTGAAT